CTTAGCCATGATGAGTTTCCCATCATTGTTAACATTTTATTTTTCTCATCCTATGTGCTAAAATATTTTTTTAACTTAGAAGATGATAGTCAAATGAGAGAGTTCATCATATATTTCTAGTTTGCTTGTATATGTATACATGTGTTTTGGATTTAAAGTAATACGTAATCTACATGTGCCAGCAAGGTCCTAATGGAAACATGACTGGTGATGTATGTGAATTATAGTCTTGGAATTCATGTGGCACTGATATCACTGTTTTGGGTGAGTTATTGTGGAGTCTGGCTAGAAACAAAAAGCAATCATATGTATTAGGCCTAATGTTTTATGTTGATACAGGGATCCTTTTCTTAAATTTTTACTTTTTCAGTTAACATATATCTGACATATACGATGTCCAGGGTAAAGCAAAGTAAGTGATTAGTGCATTTGGGGTCATATTTTGTGAAGAATTTAAGGGAAGTGCAGATCTGCTAGTGAGCAGACCTCCTATAGCAGCTAGGGGAAGGCCACCAGGAGAGGAAAGTGGTACACAGCCCTCACTCATGTGCTCATGAACCTGTCTTGTACTCCTAAGAAGTTATGTTACAGCAAATTCCCAAACTTACAAGGGGATATTTAAGAATTAGTGCTTGGCTGGTTCAGAGGTCATACTTTTAATACTTTTTAATAGAATATACTTCTTAGCTTCCCACCTTCTTTAACATCATATTAACTATTAAAGGCATGATGACTAGTGATGTTGTGATGAGGTGGAAGATAAAGTTGTGTATTTCTTTGAGATATTCTAAGAAGGGACAGTCCGAAGACTTGCCAGCATTCATGATGCTAGGCCCACCAACTTCCTGCAAATTTATAACAAAATACATGAAGTCTCTAGGCATGGAACGTTATTGGGTTCTCTACAATCCCAAACCTCATCCGTGGTGCAGGGGGGGAATGTTTGAAATTGCTATTAAGGAACTGCTTCTTATTTTTTCCTCATAGATCTGGAATAATCTTCACAATAGATTTCATAGAGATGTTTGTTGCTTGAATAGGAAATAGCTATTAGCTTTCCCAACTCTCAGCTCAAGTTCTGGGGCTCTCCTTCACACCCTGCTTTTGCTGAATTTTTGCTAGAAAGCCAGTGGAGTGGGGTCATCCAGACATAGTCATATAAGCAGTGGGTTACTTCTCTCAATGATTGCAAGAGATCCATCTAGTAAGTTCAAGTTTGTCTACTGTTCTTCACAATATAGAGTCTGAGCAAATATGAAGGTATTTTTCTGGAAAATAAAGGAAAGATCATAGCCACTATAATCAGTAGCAACCTCTGACAGGACATTTTCATTATGGGTGTACAGAGGCTAAACAGGAGAAAGAAGAAGTTAAAAGGAAAAAAGGTTATATGAGGTTGGAGGTGGGTCGGGAGAGAGAAACAGAGAAACAGAGGTGGGTAATAGAAATCAAGAGAGAGAAATTCTATACATTCTATAGAGATGCTCAGAGGCTATGTTATGGATCAGCCAACAATAAATATCTATGGTATAGCTTACTTTTCCTGTTTGAAATTTGTTTCAAAGCTAAGAAAATTAGAGTAATAAAATTTTAAATCATTGTGTGCTTTCGAAGACCCAGGTACAGTATCTGGCTGAATCCTCCTCAGTGTCCCATCTTACCTAGTGGGTTTGCTGTGTAGTTATTATGATTGAGATAAAAACAACATCTAAAAGAAATGTACTAAAAATGTCATTTGTACACTGTCATATGATTATTATCCAACAAATAGAGAAAAAGTAAAGGATGTAAATGTGAAAGGGAATTTTTTTTTATTATTTATTTCACACGACACGTTGTGTCTAGGCTTCTTTGCGCTTTCTTTATGAAATAACTCAGCAATTTGAGAAAACTCCTGAGTGTCTGTGAGAAAATGAGAGATGCATTTTGCAATTGCCTCATTGAAATGCAATTCCAAGAATATAAAGTATAGAAGAAGCATTTTTATCATCACTTAGTTTTCTTGAATCTCCCCTTCCCTTCAATTACATGCCAGTGCAGTTTACTTCTCATTACCTTAAGTAACTGGCAAGAAAACAATGTTCTATTAATCAGGACAACTGTTTGGTAATAGCAGTGGCAGAATTTTTGGGTTTTTTTTTCTAACACTTGAATGCTATCTCTATTCCTGCCGCAATAGTTATAGTCTCATGTTAAATTGCCCCCAGAGGATAAAAATGTACGATAACGAAAATTCTGTCACCTTTATCTCACACATCTGCAGTCACCCCAAGGACACTGTTGCTCCCTTTTGTGTGTTCTCTGCACTGAGTAGATGATGCCACCGTATGAGGTGACAATGAGCCTTCCCCAACTCGAGCTCTTTCAACAATTCCAACCCGTCTCTCCTCGTAATGATGGTCCCAGTCACACAGTTCACAAATCTACGTGAAAGAACAGGTCTGGAGGTCTTTGAAATAACCACCGAGTTTAAAAGACGCAGCCCTCAGTTCACCAGTGCTATTTACTTGTCTCCCAGGCACAGAATGAAATGACCCCACTGACTTTCTTTACTTGGGCTTAATGGCCGTGGATCTTTCTATCTTCTTTTTACAAGAATTTGGTCTTTCATCTAATGACTCATGATAGAAAAGGCAGTGGCACCTGGGGTATGTATGTTTCCCTCGGTCTCCTGAAGCTCTTTCACTTGGGAAAGGGCCACATACAACCTCAGAGTCTGGCCAACTCAACACAGATGTTTCTAAATAGGATCAGAGCAGTAGCATACCTTCTCTCTTGAAAAGATTCTCTTGGAAGAGACAGAAAGATTCAGGATGGAAGAAATGCTGCATTTTTCAGATTTTTGTTGACTATATAGCAGTAATCCTTATTGTTTTCAGTGAAACTATGAACGGGAGAATGTGTAATAAAACTGCACGATTTGACAGATTTAGACAGCTGGCTCCCTCACAAGAAGTTCACATTTGGTTAATGTCACCCACGTTGAATAAGGGACGATTAGATGGTAAGGTCCATTTACAAAAATGGTTGTCAGGACATTTTTTTTTTTTTAATTGTAAAACTTTCTGTGATGGAATTCAGTAAAAGGGCTATGAAGAGAAAGCAATGGAAACAAAAGGCAGCCATTAACCTTCAGAGGCAGGCAGGCGACTGCAGGGTTCATTGAAGGATCTGTCACACTGCTGGGCCAATGGAGTGGGAGCGTGACCAGGAGGACCACCCCTTTCTGGGGTAAGAGGGCAATTTGGTCTCCATGCTCATTTAATCCTGAGACTTCTTTGAATAGACTGTCAATTGAATCTAAATTGTGCAAAATTATGCATGCACTTTTTAATGCAGGCCATTGTTCACTAAGCACTGAACCAAGGTTTCTCAACCCATTTCCATTTGGCATGAGGTCACTTGAAACTTAAGTAATCATATATGGAAGACAAGAACAGTGCACTTAACCAAACTTTCTACATTGTGGTCTCTCTGTCAGTGCTCCTTGCGATTTAGCTGCAAATCTCGCGCTTGAAGACAATAGAGAGATACTAGTTACGAGGTTTGTTTTATTTTGTATAGTTGAGGCCCACACGTTCCTGGAGGTACGGGCTGCGTCTGCAGGGTCAGCCTCCACTGACAGCACTCTCTCTACTATGCTACGGTGTAGGTGCTGTTGGGACAGATGATTGCAGAACAACCAGTAGTGGGCATGTGGGTAGATTTTTTTTTTTTTCCTCAGTAGTGCAAAGAGGCCTGATCATTTTATTATCCAAAAGTGGAGCTCTGGCCTCCAAAACCAGTAAGAAAAAGGTCTACCAGACTTTTTGCAGTTTTCAGTTTGAACGTGGCATTTCTTTCAAAACCTTAACAGTACATTTACAGAAATTTATTCATACATTGACCCAAGGCACAGTTTCATTGAGTTCTGAAGGAACATATACATTGAAAGTCATAGTTGGCAAGAATGATCATATTAAAAATTTGTCAAAATGACAGCTTACAGAGCCAAGATTTGTTAACAGCGAGTGAGCTCTTCTCCAGTGGGGCTGAATTCAGTGTGAAATCTGCCACATTCTAATCCCATATCCTCTGACAGTCTTGCTATGCTGAAAAGCACTTTACAAGTGTTTAATGCTGGAATCTTATAAAGATTGGCTGTTTTCTTGCTTTTTCGTCCGTCGTTAATGATTACATGTTGGCACAAGGGCACTGCTAGATTAGATCCACAGCACATTAAAGACTGTTTGCTTTCTCACTCCCCTTCTTTCCAATTAAGTTGGTGAAAAATGTAACTTTAGTATTTTACAGGACAGGGTAAAGGTGTTTCATCTAGGTGATGTCTATATTATAAAAATAAAATAAAAAATATAAATATGTAACATAAACCCAGTGCCTACTGTTAAATAAAATATACAATAAAAGCAGACCTTTTAGAGAACTTGGTTTTAGAATATACGGTTTGATTAAATTATGAAACACTTGAAAACAATTTGGGATTAAGCTAGTAACCAGGTTTCTCTGCCAATAAAAAGGTAAGAGGGTAAACATTCTGCAATTGGATACATCAATAGAAATGAAGATTACAATTTTATATCAAGTTACTCATTTAGAAATGCATCAGGGAGTTCTGAAACATTTTCTCATCTTATAGTCTTAATATGAAAATATTGCCTTTTTATTAGCTTCATCAGATTGCACAGCAATGTTTCAAAACTCCATTCAAGTTGACATTAGTTATTACAGACAACATTCCTGGGAAGTAAAATAATCTCTTCTGGTGACATAAAAATTCCGTTATCAATTTACAATGGAATTTCTGCGTAAATTACCCTGCATAAAGAAATATATTTCAAACACCCATCTGTTCTGCAGCCATGTGGAATAGGGGACATGAGTGTGTATGTGTGTGTGTGTGCACATACGTGAACAAACTTGCCGACATACACACACAGGATCTGCACATTTCTGGAAATTATTTTTAAATTAATAAAAGAAAATGAAATCACAGGAGTGTGTAGCAGGATAACAGTCTTTCTTTTTAATGACAGGATAAAAAATAAATGCCCATTGGAAAGGAATAGTCAAACAGTCCCAGAAACTATACAATGTAACTTGTTAGATCCAGCAAATAAGATGTCATGTCAATGATCTGATCAAGAATACCTGCCCTGGTCACTCTGCGGAAGTTTCTGTCCACTTGTTCACACTGAGGACCAAGATATCCCTTTTTACAGAGGCACTTGTTCGGTCTCACACAGACGCCTCCATGCCGGCATGCTGGCTCACATTTAGCTGGGAGGAAAAAAGAGCAATAAAATCACACTCATTCTCTAGATCAGAAACAGTACAGAGGACGCAGCCAACACATATTTGACATATAACGGAAGGGAGGGGAAGAAAGAGGAAGCCAGTCCCAAAATGCTCCAGCAAGGAATAAACACAAGTAGGCAAGAAGGCTTGCAGACCAGCCAGCAGGGGACGGGAGATGCTTCTCGACAAGCAGGGGTCATGGGGAACAATTTCAGTCCCTTGAAGAAATGACTAACATGACGGTTTTGGTTCTTTCAAACCTCTGCTCAGCTAGGGCAATTCGGAGGGAGGCCTTCAGGGGACTCTCTGGCCCCCGACCCCTGTCTTGGGTAGGCCCTTCTGTCCAGCGCAGAGGACAGACCCGGCGGTGGCTGTCCGTTTTGCTCAGCTGGGATGTCCAGGCGACACCCTTGAGCACCCTCCCCTGGCTCCCTGGGGGTACACAGCTGGGGTTTCCTCCCTGAATCCACTTTGAAGACCCTTCCTGGGGCCAGTGCAGTGGAGCGCAAGGCCGTGCTGGAGCTTCGCCAGGGTTACGCCATAGCTCAGTCTCTTCAGGTAGGGTTTCTACATTGCGAAGGTGGAGGGGAGAGTTCAGTTTACTGTTGGAGTGAGGGGAGGCTGGAGTCTGTGTGGAAGCCTTTCACTGACGAATAGATACATCCAGGCGTGTAGCCACTGCACAAACAAGTCCTTAGGTTATCAGGGTCAGGGTCATTTTTAATTTTTTCTAACGTATGAGTTAAAATCCAGGTGTCTCTGACTGACACATGGAAAAGAACAAGGAGAAAACAATTAGACTAATTTTCCTTTTAAATCTGTGGAAGTTGAATAAACTCTGTGAATCTGAGGGAAATCCGTGGTGGGGTCAAAAATGCCATGGGTAGATTAGTTTCATAGAGACATGTGGTTTATTGTATAAGTCAAGCTCATTAACTTGGCTTTGTGGAAAGAGTAAGTTATTTTATGGAAAGAATATTTAATGTGAACACAGAGAATGTATTTTCATTCATATCACACTAATAACAGTTATTGTGGTTATTAATATCTATTATGATGTTACCATATTTAAAATAATTGTCACCTGTATTTGAAAAAACTCATTTACCCTCAGTTTAAACATGCTGTTCCTAAAAGACAATAATTTGGCATCCGGTGACTTGAGGGACTTAAGAGGTTAGATAAAATGCGAATAAGGAATAAAGTAAAATGGACACCATGAAAAGAAGCAGGGAGAGGTACACCCAGGTAACAAAGGACATATCACTGCTGCTGTAACGGGGCGGTCCCTCGGAAAAGGGGAAGTCCTAGGGACCACCCTGTTACACTGTTAATGCTGATTCTCTTGTTTTTGTCAACTGGAAAAAAGGAAGCTAGACTGGATCGATAGAATGTAAGCATTTGTTCTAAACAATGCAATTGCTTGCTTTCTGTTGAGATGCGGAGGGTGAGAGGCTTCACCAGAGACAGAGTGGGGAGCAGAACAGGCAGATCGACGAAGTACACTGCTGAGGGGAGCAGCGGGCGGGTCAGGAGAGGTCTGCCTCGCCATGTGGTCACCTCCGGGGCAGGTGGGGATCGAACTCATGCGGAAGTGGCTTTGACTTCTTAGTGCTGTGCTTTAACCCGCTGCGCCACCAGGGAGGGCCTCTGTTGAGTTTTAATTCTATTTCTCCCCTAGATATGGAACCACTGTCTTAGTCAATCAGCTAGTGTTACGTGTGCTAAAGCAATGATGCTCACAGGGTATAGTGCATGTATGGACTTTAAATGCTGACTGTTGTTGGACATGATATAAAGTTGGCAAGCGTGGTTATAATTTTTTGAGACAAATACATGTGTAGAATAAAGAAAAGGGCATTTATGAATTAAGAATAATATTAAATATTAAGTTGGAAGTTGAATTTTCATTAGTAAGAGACCCAAGTCTATTTGAAACAGCCCCCTCCCCCCGCCAAAAAAAAAATCTTTTGTAGCTGACACATTCTGTGCTGGTTGTTCAATAGGAGCTTTCGACATAAACACCAGAAATTTTAGGTCTTATCTAATTTTCTTATTTCACCAAGTAGAATTTAAACATTGTTACATGGAACTGAGCGAATCTCAAGTTAAAGGGAGGACTAATCCTGGAGTAAATCTCCCTTGCTGTCTCTGAGCTGTTGTATTACTAGTTGACGTTTCACGACGGAGAGGCAAAAATAATTTTTAAAACCTCAATCTTCCAGACAATTGCAATTTCCCCTTTTATTTAATAACACCCACTGAAAGACCCTGTTTTTAGGGTGCTTCAGCAGGAAAGCAAGCAGGAAGTTTAGGGAGGACATTTATGGGGTGTCTGGAAAATGCTGGGAGGGGCTTTGTAAACACTAAGTCATTGGCTGGTGTGAAATCTCAAACCCAGGACTGCGAGCCAGCTGGGAGGATGGAACTATGCCGGTTTCACTTTTTACTTTGTGAAAGAACTCAGTTCTTTAAAGGCTTTTGGTGTTTATGTTGAACTTATACACACGAATCATTTACCGTAAGAATATTGAAAAGATTTCATTGAGCAGTTGAGAAACAGATTGGCTATTAATATCACTGTGGAGGGCTCACCAAGTCTGAACCCCACAAAGTCCTAGAAAAAATAACCGACGCTGTTCTTGCGTCCCCAACGCGGACCCTGCCCAGTCCTTCTGGGCCACAGGACAGTAACACTGACCGATTCTGCAGAAGTCGCCTTCCCAGCCTGGGCTGCAGCAGCATTTTCCCGACGGGGCACAGTGACCGTTGCGACAGAGCCTGGCGCACTCGGAGCTCAGCATCTGGGCAGGCTGCACGGTGGCCCGGCACTCCTCAGGCACCACAGGTCTGCAGTTCAAAGTGCATTTTGGTTGACGTTCAAAATTGGAATGAAATGTAGTGATTTTGTAGCTACAAAGCACGTCTCTTGTTTTCTAAAGAGACCTTTCTCTTAACTGACTCGGTCAAAAAGATGGACAACTTTCTAAGAATAGCTTACACACCAGTGCGAATAAACTGACCTGGTTTTGAACCAAAGGGAACACATTAAACATTGCAAGGCACTTCGTCAGAATGACGACTCATTGATTACAGACGTCGTGCGGCTCTATCGCTATTTAACATCCGGCAGCTAAGAATTCCTCACAACTGCAACTGAAAAAATAAAGATTGCAGATATTTTCAGACTTTCTCCTGCAGACCTCTCCACATTGTTGAGAGGTCCCACTTGTTCCAGGCATATTTGCCGTCTGTGTGGCCGTCTGAGGCGCTGGCATTCCTCCAGGGGAACCTGGTAACCTGCACAGCCTGGGAATATGTTTCCATTTCACTTTTACATTTCTTTTGGGGCAATTTTCTCAAGACGGATTTGTCTTGACAGGACAGCTTAAGAGATGTGTGTATCTCTATCACTGACTCAAAGTTTACACTCTTTCCCTAAAGAACGGCCCATGGAGATCTGATATGCATGCATGTCTCTGGGTGTATGTATAGCAAGAACTCTCAGCCCTTTTGCCCTGAGATCAGTACCTGCCTGTCGAGCTGTGTGTTTTAAAGACTGTGTGATTGTCACAGATAAACCTCATTCCCTAAGCTTCTCCCTACAGTTCTGGGGAAAATTTATCTCTTTTTCTTCTAAGTAGTTGATAACTAATACTCCTCAGTTTGCATGTCCAGAAAATTTCCTCCTTCTCACACACACATGCACACTTTTTAAAGAAACCCGACGCCACCCTGCTGTGAAGAAAATGCAGCAAGCTTGGGGCAGGGAACAGGGAACAGGAACGTCTGACCTGCCAAGGAAGACGTCACAGGCTTTGTTTTAATTGCTCAACAACCGCCATCACTGAGGGAGGAGCTGAGATGCCTTCAGAGGCAGACTTTTATGGTTCTGTTTTTGAAACCAGAGGGGGGTTTCAATCGGGGTCAGGCTGGAATCGCAGGCAGGAGGGCTCTCGACCTAGCCTTCAGGGCGAAATGTGCGGGGTGGCTCAGCTCTTAGCAAGGTCACCTGTGCCACATGTGGGGAGAAGGGTCTTTCCAGCTAAGGAATGTAAACAAACGTTCCTTCACCACTCAAATCACCCGGGTTAGAAAGGCCCAAGCAGCTGGACTCCTTAAGTATCATCACAAAGAAGGTGATAATTATAGGTCAGACCCACCCCAGAGCTAAATTATATAGCTTTCTGAGATAAGCAAATAATTAGGCCCTGTAGACTGGGTTTTCTTGAGCTAGATTACCTTGTTATGCTCCTACGTGATGGTGGTGATAATTTGGGGCCTGCCCGCAGGCTCTTTCTATAATGGCTCAAAACCTTATTAAAAATAAAAATAAATGACTCTTTAGATCCTCTCTCCAATAAAAATCCCACTATATGTCGAAAGCCCCATGTTTTGCAACTAATGGGACCATTCAGAAAACTGCCTTCATCTATACAAACCCCTATTTAAATCGAGAAATGGCCAGTTTATGTGGAAGGTCCTGAAAACATCCCGTCGGGGCATATGTTCATTCAGGAAACATGAGGGACTACTTTCCCTGTGACCCCCAAGGGAGGCTTTCTGGAAGTAAGGATAGAGTGGGGGTGGGGTAAAGAACCGTAAAGGTTAGGCCAAGGAAGGCAAGGGAGAGCCTTCTCCTTGTAGAAAAACTCTTGTCTACTCTTTTTTCCTGGATAAAATTCTTATTTTGTCTGTGTGGGTGAAAGTTTTGATCATGAGAAGAGAAACTTTCTTAAAAGTCACAGAGATCTTTCAAGTCCCAGGCCGAGATCATGCACTAAAGTAGCATTTAGCGAACAGGTATTGCACATCTGTGACTGGAATTCTGTTTATTCAACTCCTGTGTGTCACTGACTTGTTCACACTCTTTCCAGCTCCTTGTTGGAAATACCTGATATGTCGCGGTGACGTGACTCTGAGGGACATCGCTTACATGCCCTGACTCAGCAGGATGGTTTATGCTGAGTGGATCTATCAAGAGAGGACACCACTCGGTCAAGCAGGGAGGTGACTGTAGTTGAACAGCAACCTGGGGGCAAAGGGTAAAGGTGTGGATGTGTGGGCGGAGAAAAAAGGCACTGGGAGCTACATTGACTGCAGTGAGGTATCTGGCCCCGGTTTCCCAGCTGATCCTCAAAACTAGATGTTTTCACTCTTTATTGCCAGACATTTAGGTAGGTGGAAACTTGGTGTATAGAAGTGAATTCTAAGTTGTTTTGACCTAAGAAACAGCACCTGCCTGTCTACCTGTGGGTATTTCAGCCGGAATGTTTATTTTAGCCTCTATGGGACAGTGTTGCTATCCCATAGAAACATCATGATTCCTATAAGCTTTGATTTAAATGATTAGGAAAATTATCTTTCCCCCCCTTGTATAAAGTTGATAACATTCCTTAGTTAGCATGTTCAATAAATTCTCTCCTCTTTGAAACAATTAAACCTGACATCTGAAACTTAAATATGGTTATAAACCAATGTTACCGCTGTAAAAATTGATGAAAAATGTAAGATGTTATTCTGTTGGGGATCGTTTGACATGAAAATGTACACAAAATATAGCCCATCTCTTAGGGAAGTGGGTTATCTTACCCCCTTTCCTTTCCCACTGACACGAAAGCTGTCTGAAGCCAACGCTATAGCCTCAGTCCCCTTCAAGTCCAGGCAGTTATGCGAATAGGTACTGTGTCCTCCATGGGCAGAAGACATACGGATTAGGTATGGTTTTAATTCTATGATATTTAAGGCATTCAATCCAATTCTTTAGTTAATTGGATGTATAGAGTAGAATATATACTCCTCTTAGACAAACATTTCCCTCTCCTTGTACTTCTCCAGGATCTAGAAAAGTGTATGTCACATGGAAGATGTTCATTAGAAATCTGCTGGGTGAGTGAATGAAATGAGGAAGAATAGGGAGTTTGAGATTTGCTTCATCTCTGCACTGAGTGGACAAATTAGGATTTCATAGACCGTCTAAGGAAAGGATACCTTCACATCTAATTGCTGTACTTTTACATCAGAATACTCAAAACACTGTAGTCCCTCTATTGATTAAATTAACTTAAGCCCCACACAATTCTTCTAAGGCATGTTAAATTCATCTAAATGAAGCATTTTTACAGTAATTATAATTAACAGTTTAAGAATTTAAGCTTGCCGTAGAAATAGACTTGTTTCCTCTCCAGCTGTGAGTGAACATACTGATACTGAGTTTTCTAGTAATATATTTGGAAAAGACTGACAGAGATTTCTGGGGCCCTCAACTCTCCCCCTCCACTCACTCTTTGTTCTAGTGATCTATCTTCCTTCCATTGAAAAGGAAAACGAGTGAGGAAGGAAGAAATGGGCTGAAGATCAGTAAATCTGAACTCTATTATTATTGTCATCTTACAATAAACCACCTCATGCACCCTTAAGTGCTACATATACAGAGATACATGTGTGTATACAGAGATAGGATTTAAACAAAAATCTAGAACATGGGTTTATTTTTCAATCTTATTTTTACTAGACTGGAAAATAGGTGGTTTAATGTGTGTTCTATTAACGAATTGCTTAAATGGTATTGTTCTTTTTTAAACTTTTGGGCCCTTAGGTCTACTGGATGAAGTCCAAAGTAGCTTTCAAGATAGAGATTTTACCAAAGAGATATTTCAGTTTGTAATAATGATAGTTATCCCCAGAGTCCTCAAACTTAATTTAAGTCAGAAGAACACATTTCCAAATCCCTTGACAAATAATGGAACGCTAAGGGACTACCCCAGAAAATTGCTCAACATTCTTAAATGCAAATATTTGCCTTGTTTTCGGGAATTTAAGTCATTCGCTTAGAAACTACTTGGGCTGACTTTGGGTAGTAGCAGAGAGGTTTAGATACTTTCTTGAAAGGAAAGAAGGAAGAAGTGGAGAAGCATAAGGAATTTATAAACACATCACACGTGATTACTTTCTGTGAATAGCTAATGCCAACAGTGAAGGTCTCTGGGTAGCAGGATTAGGTATGGTTTTAATTCTATGATATTTAATTGAATAAATGAATAAATCAATGAGACTTCCTCTGAGCATTTGTATGGTAGCATAAGGATAAATCCTTACTCTGCTCTTCAGAGTTGCCAAAATCTATTGTGTCTTTTACAAAAAGGAAAGGGCTGGTGCTGAAATTGTGTTAAGGGTTCAGATTTTAAATGTGTGTCATTGTGAAATACGGGCCATAGATCACGAGTGGCACTCATTTATAAAATCTGACCATGGGTGGTTTCAGAAGATGTAATAATGCCTCCTTTTTGCACCATCGACAAGAGAGGCAGCCGATGCTGCTTTGTCCATATTCACGCCGGGACCCTTGGGAAAGGGTTCCACTGCCACTCGTCACCTTTACAAAACTACCTGTCTCCCACACTTCCATCCCTGGCTAATGAAGTAGGAAAAACAGACATTTAGATCCTCATTCTCGTAGGATGGTACTAAGCATGCAGCAAGTTTGATCGAAATTCTGGAGTCTCAGGTCCTTCCCTAAAATGACTGCATGAGAATCTGCTCTATTTCGTTTGTCAGGACAGTGTCAGCATGTTCAAATTTGAGAGGAACTGTTCTCAATTGGGGCCGGGTCCAGCCAGTGGTGTTGCTAATAGCGGCCATGAGTTCAGAGTTCTACAGTCTCATTTCGGGTGGGGGTCTCCTGAGGCAGACGCAGTTTTGCTAAGAACCAGCTAAAAACCATGGACAGTGTGGTCTGTGGATTTCTTTCCTTTGCGAGCCTTCTGTCACAGAGCTGTCAGACCCAGTACCCAGCACTCAGAGCACTTTTACCTAGAAGCAGGGGAGGCTTCTCAGTCAGGAGAGATTTT